CAACAAGGGCTTGGAGGTCATACTTTTTTTCTAAACGCCATGCAACTGCTAGGGAAGATGTGAGGATGATTGCTACCTAGGGCTAAAAAACCGTCCTTCATCCAGGAATCGGGAGTGGGGAGAGGTAGAGTCGACAGAACAATTGGCCTGAAGCCAAAACTGAATGGACCCGGGGCTCGGGGGGAGGCGTGAAGGCGTTAGCCGAGCAAGCAGGCAAGGCCGTTATGCACCCCGCTATGATATCGGATAACAGCATGAGCGTCACCCGTGGTTAAAGCGGTAGACCTCTGCTGTGATGTGTGACTGGGGGCGAGACTCTCCCCACAAACGAGACAGAAATGTCGTCAATTCAGGTTTATAGCAATCTTGCTGAAAACTTTCAATATTTAGCAAAGTAAATGGGTTTCTCAACACAAGTATTTTGCTCAAATTCGAAAACGTCAGAATTCCGGGATATTAATTATAATTCATCTTCCGCTCACCGGAATACATTTGGAGATTTGCCGACGTTTCGGACAGCTGGGCCTGCTGTCCTTTGTCAAACCAAAGTCAGGATTTGCAAGCGAATACGGTCCTGGGACAAAACCACAGGAAGAGGGAGCAGGATTGCCAGCATCCTCTACCGTGGGGACAGAACAGACCTCTAATTGTCGTCACGCAAAGCCAAAATCCACACGCAAGGCCAGACAGCGAACGGAGAAAAATCGATCAGCCCAAGGCCAACATTTACAACCACAAATTTAAACTGCTGATCGATAAGAGTCAGTATTCGCTGTGAAAAAGGACAGCAGGCCCAGCTTTCCGAAACGTCGGCAAATCTCCAAATTCATTCCGGTGAGCGGAAGATGAATTATAACAAGTATTTCGAAAATTTCAAAAAGCAGTATTTATTGGATCCATAAAATTTCGGTAGAGTTCTTCATCTGCTTCCTCTCATTGCATAATGTAAGTAACGAATGAGAAAATACAACATTTAATTCGTACAGAAAGGTCACTAAGGTCATAGGGCATGGTCACGAAGATCAGTTACTAAAGTAAGCGCGTTAAAACAATGTGGAAATAAAAACAAAGGAAAAAAAGCGTTAAGGCAGGGAACTGTGTAAATCACGGAGCCGGATGTTACCAAGGCAAAGTTAGGTTAACCACATGCTCCAACTGTTTACATAGGTCAGGTTTTGACCGCCTTATATAGGCTGTCTCCAGATAGCGCAAGCTACGAGTTGTTCGTGTCCGAACAAGTACTTGGAAAGAAGTTTTGGCGTCCACAGAATGACCCGTATCTAGCAAGTGCTCCGTAATGGAAGACCGAGGGGTTCTATTCTCCTTTTCCAGTAGCCAGCTAGGCAAATGAAGAGCACTCTCGAAGTTCATGAATTCATTAAATTCTGCTATTTTTCTAATCTTCAAATAAGCACCGGGGAAAAGATGCTCTAAATTTCTGATACATGTATTTTGGTCACTTTATTAGTCACACTCTTTTGTTGGTTGTTATTTGCAAAAAAAAATGCATGCCTCCTTTTTCCCTCCTCCTTTGTTAACTCCTACTACCTCTCGCAGTTCCGCTGAGGCTGAAGTCACGCAAAAAGTTTGCGAGACCAAATTATTTTATGTGACAGGACAAATTTGCCGGAAGCTGAAGCCAGGAAGTCTCTATCTACCTTGTGTGAGCGTGTGTGGCGTGCTTAAGAAGACATCTACAGTTCTTTCATCCGCTTGCACCCAATCCCCGTATCCGATGGCTGACCGGATTGGACAAACAGTTGTCTGTGTCAGTAATTACAGTAGAGTATGCCTGCGCGTATGAACTTCATATGGCGCATAAATGTAAATGCAAAGTTCAGAAAATTAGTCAATTGACCCATATGTGGAAAGTTTGTGGCCTCGGTGGGACTTAATTATTCAAATCTGCCAA